TAGAATGGTGCTGCCCATAACATTCAGGTAAATATGTTTGGTTATAATTGTGATATTGTGTTTTTTGCAGAGAGGCAGGGGAAGAAGGCAGCCTTTGGTGAATTTAGTTGACAGAGTCAGCATTTAGGGAAGTGGATACGACAAACAATAGTATAATCAGGGCTTACAGATGCGGGAAGCAATGACAGACGTTGAGGTTCATCACACTGCTAAGCAGAATCATCACTGGAAATCATGTGGAACGGTAGGGAAGCCAGTATTATTATGATGTCTGAGATGACGCGGCCTGCTCATGTGCTCTTTGTTATCAGAGAATCAATCCACAACTGAACCACACCGAACCCTACTATTGAACTAGTACCAGTTTAGCACAGTTCGGTTGCGTCTGGCACGGATCAGTTCAGTTGCGTTCCATTTACACTCAACAGTTATTTCTGTTACCGTGCTCGGACCGATCTCTGCAAGGTTTCAAAAGGGTACTGTAAATGGGGAAAGTGAGTGCCGCAAAGTAATTTTTTAATCCTAAAATACAATTTCAAAAAGTTAGCCTAAGGGACTTATCAGTTGCTGTTTCTGTTCCAGTGCATATTATAATCTATTTATCATAAACTATTCTTTATAATGTATTAGGTACAGGGGCCAGGACCAGTTTTACAAGGAGCACTGGCCCCTGTCTGGAACCGCCCATACAAGAGGTGACACAATAAAGACAGTTTCCTGTCCCTTTCTGTTGGTAATAATAAGACTAAGGTGTTATTTATCACATCTGTTTTTAAGCAGTGTTGTGTCACGTGTATGGAGGACCAATCCTGCCATAATTAAAAATACAGAAAATAAATTAATGCTTAAAGAAATAAGTAATAAATAAAAAAAGTTGAAGAATAAAAAAGGCAAATAAACAAATAAGCTAATTAAAAGATAAATGTATGTCTCACTGTGTAATTTCATTTCTACCTACATTTATTTGTTTATTTTATTTTTATTTTATTTTTTTTGGGAGGGGGGGATTTATTGTATGCCTATTTATTTTTGGAGCATTTATTTTTTCTGTATTTATTTTTAATTATGGCAGGATTGGTCCTCCATACACGTGGTCTACAATTTAACTAATAACTGCTTTATGCTTTGTTTGTGGACGTTTTTTCTCGTTGGTTAAATCAAAAATACGGAAAAAGCTTTTTGATAAAGTATGAATATATGAATTAAAGAAATCCCAAATACCAGACAGATTGTTTCCTCTACTGAGTAACCATGCATACATTTAATACTAATCTCTCTGCAGAACTTTGCTACTGCATTTTAATGTCAACAAAACTTTCCGCTCTGTGGGCCTCTCTCTCTCACCTCAGTCGGTCCCCTATGTCTCCCCTCCGTTTCCTTTTGTCGCTCTTCGGTCTCTCCAGTGAACCGTCCCGTATCCTCTGCCCATCGCTGCAGTCGGCTGTCACCGAGCCTGCCGTCCCCGCTGCAAAGGCCCCGTTCACCGGCTGCAGCGTCGCAGCTCGCCCCGCTGCCAGAGTCGCCCTTCTTCTCCGACTCAGACCCCCATTTACATTCAAGTCACTCATAATGACCCGAAATTAAACCACTACAAGTTTTAGTCTGTATTAGTTCCTCTTGTTTGACTTCTCAGTTCAGGACATACCGCGCTGGTTCATACAGAAACACCCAGACGGTAGAGATCAAGGAGGAAGTGAAGAGGGAGAAAACAGTCCACGCAGGATTCACATTTCCACACAGACAGAGGTGGGAGTGAATTCATGAAGTCATCAACCAATGCAACTCTGAACTCGTTTGACTCGTTTAAACAACAGGTGAGTCCTAACCTGGGGTTTCATTGAGTAACACACAGATTCCACTAAACAGGCTTAGATCAGACGAAACCTGACTTCAAAGATCCGGATGGCCTAAAAGTTACACATAACGAACAGATACAGCAGGGGCGGAGCTAGATGGGGGGCCATGGGGGGGCCATGGCCACCCTTAGCCAATCATTGGCCACCCCTACCCTTCATTTCACTCTTATACAGATGGTGGCAGCAGTAATACTCTCCAGTGGAATATTCAAAACATTTTAATTTGACATATATTACAATTACTTCAAAACAAAAATGCTATGGTTAATTATGCACATCAATACACTAAAATTAAAGATGATAAGTAGAGAATTCATGCTCTTTTCAGAAGTAGATTTTGTGTTTTATGGGGTAAAGAGAAAATTATGCATCTCTGCAAGTCATCTAGGAGTCTTTAGTGAAATCATGGATAAATAATTTTAATTGATTAAATAATCAATTTATGTAGATATTAGTACTTGTAAATACCAGTTTTATGCAGAATGATTACTGATAAACGTAGATAAGTAATGGCAATGGACAGATGTTCGCTTAAAACTCAAAACCTGGAAGAATCTTATCCACTTTACCTTTTATCTAGAAAGCACAGATGTTTGAATATATTCATCTATTTGTTAGCAAAGGTTGTGGGAAAGTATAGTTTTTCTTTACTTAGAAAATATGGATGTTTTGCTTGTTAATTTTTACTGTTGGAACAGTGTAGATTGACCCTGAGGTTCTAGTGCCTATCTGCTTTTGATCACCCCTCAGTGTACATTAGTTATTGACTGGCCACCCTTATAAAACATTTTCTGGCTATGCCTCTGAGATGCACGTTTCGACAGTGAAACAAATGCTAATAACATGATGGGAAAGGACTGTAGTAGGTAGTTTGATCACAATGTTCCGGTTTTGTAATTGAAGTAAAACTGACTCAAACCTAAATATCAGAACGAGTTTCAATCTGATTTAAATATAACATATTTTTAAAAATAATCACATTATTATTCTGAATTCAATGGATGGAACCATGCTTGATCTAATAAAAAATAAGAAAAAAACACTTTTTTTTAAACAGCCTGTATAAAAAAACAGCAGCAGAAACAGAAACTGGGGGAGGGGTTCCGATCTGTCATTCTCCACAAGTCAAATGAAGAGGGAACTAAAGAAACTGAATCACAATAAGTCACCAGAGGCTTCTCCAGATCTGGTGCAGGACAGACGACTACAGAACATCCTTCCTGGCTACAGCCATCAACATCTCATTGGAAAAAAAAAAAAAAAAAGTGTGACTAAAACATGTGTTTCCCTTTGGGATCAATAAAGTATTGTTGAATTGAGTTGAGTTGATGGGGTAATGTGTGTAGAATTTTAAGAAAAGATATTTCTATAGCCTAATAATATTTTGCAAAAGGCTGTAACACAACTAAACGGGGGGAAACATAGCTGCAGTGCTGTGAATCCTGTCTAGATGCACTGTAATTATTTGGGCTTTATCAGGAGACACATGTACCCGTTGGTCTCACAATATGAAACAACCACCATATTTGATCTCTGCTCCATGCTGTCTGTGTCTTGTGGTCTTCTCTCTCTGCTCTAAATGTCAGATGCTTCTGCAACCTTCTGCTATTCTCTTGATGTCACTACTAGTGTTTTTTGGTGATTCAAGGCATACTAACAAAATCGCTCTGTTTCTCACTAGCCCCAATTTGTGCTGTACGAATGTTGGTTGAATTTTACCCGTTTCTACATGTAGATTAACATTGCACTCAACTGAATTCTGCTATAACAAGCTGTTTAGTTTGAAATACGTCTATAATGTTTTCATCGAAAGTGAGGGAAAGTAGTTGTCCATGTACTTTTCTTATTCTATTAATGTTTTATTTTATAAATACTTTTATACACCACTTTTTAATTGTTTTTATGACTGATTATTTATATTTTCTGATTGTGTATAGCACTTTGGTCCTACTGGGTGTAGAAAGTCCTTTATAAATAAATTTGGTATGATACTCAATTTTTACAGGCTCTATGTGAAAAAACTTTGTTAAATTCCAATCCCTTCTTTGTCCATCATGGTTGTGCATGCTTATCCATACTCAGGTGAGAAGTGATCAATAGCATTGATCAATCTTTATCAGTCCTTACTGTCTTTAGGGCTGTCTTTTAGACTAATGAGCCTGTCTGCTGTTGTTCGGACAAGAGACCTTGAAAAAGAATTACTAACAAACTTAAAAAAAGTTTTCATTGAACTTTAAAACTTTCAGTTTGCAGGTTTCCTAAACAGTCTTAAAATGTTTAAAATATGAATTCAATTTTTGTTTTTTTGTCATTCTTGATATAATGGACCTTTTTACTACTGAGAGTAAAAATGTTAGTGAAGGAAGAAAATACTGAGAATATAATAAATCGCATCTGGTTATTTTGGCTGGTGGATCATTTTACTGCATTATCTCTGAAAACATTAGAAATAAAATACTTCTCATATTATATTCTTATGGGCTGTCAAAATAAAATGCACCAAAAGTGAGGATTTTCAGTGTTCCTGCTCTGTAAGCCAGTAGAGGGAGTCCAAAGCTACAAACTTATCCCTAGCTTCTGTCAGTGCAGTCAATTCTTTCCTTTGTAATTTTAGTAATACAATTAAAATAGGTAATTTATGAAGCAACCTGCTGTTTTTTACTGATTAGTTACATGTTTTCCCTGTAATTTTTTCTTACATCAAGGTATTTTTAGTTGTAATTAAAGCTCAAATAAAAACAGGCTTTGCTGAACTTGGGCTTTGTACCTTCTCTCTTTTTCAAAATCCAGAAGACACTGTGTTGCGTGCAAGGCTTCTACTGCTACAGGATCAAGTTATTTTTGATAGCTGCAAGTCATTTAAAATTTAGAGAATAAGAGGTTTTCTTCTTGTATTATTAATTTTTTTCTGAAGGGATTCCAAAACTGAGACTTTATAAGACCTGCTAGTGCTGCAAGAAGCATATAAATATATATATATATAGTAATACCACAACCTAGTTCCCATTAATATTTCTGTCTATCCACTGTTTGTATTCTAATCTTGTTCATTATAAGGTTGACATTTTCCATGTTTTTAATCAGCTTAATTTTTTTTGCAAACCTTTTTCTTTTTTCAGTATCTATATCATCCTAAAATTCATCCTTATCAATCAATTGTACATGTACAGGTATAAAGATTACTATGAATATTAAGCAAAACCAGTCCCTAGACATAGACTTAAGCAAATGCCTAGTAAAGGCAGTAGTAATTTCCTAGTGCTTATTGCACAGATTTTTTTGCTGCTTTGCAGTGCTTGTTCTTAACGGAGCAACAGAATAGCAGCATATCACCCATTCTGGTGGCATCTTTTAGAAAAGTGACCCTGCAGCCAACAGCTTTACAACCATAGGTCAGAGAGTGGGATGGTGCTAGTTATATGACAGTCTTGCCCAAGTGAGACAACATGGCAGCAATGGGTACAATGTAGCTTACCACCATCAGCAGGTGACTGTGCATTAATGAGTAAGTGCCTGAATGCAGTGTAAAGCGCTCAGGGGTCATTGGAATTGATAAAGCATCTACCAAACATGATGCTTGTAGTTTCAACAAAAGGCCAGAACAGAGTCTTGCAACGACCTCAAGGACTCTCTATTACTAAGGGGTGGACCTGTTTTTTCTGTTTAGTTTGCATGTTTTCTAACCCATAACAAGGCTTTTGTTTGGGATACTTCTATAAGCCTGGAACTGAAGTCTACTCCAGACATTTTAAATTAAGAAAGCTTTCTGGATGGGAGGTGACACATCTTCAAACCTGGAAAACAAAGTCCAGTGGTTTGTTTTTGACTTTGGAATGACTGTGACCTGGATGACTGAGATTGATCGGTGATGCTCCATCAGTTTCAACTTTATGACTGTCTCCTTTCTTTGGTCTCCTTTTTCTAAATAAACTAAATTATTGTGAAAAGAAAGTGTCAGTCCTCTGAAACAAGGTGAAGTGAATGAGCCTTCCTGCTAGTTTGGCAATGCTCTGTTCTCTAGCTTCACAAAAGGCAGAAAACTCTGATCCTTCTAGTATTTTTCTCAGTCATCTTAATCAAATACAATTAAACCATAAAAATATAGACAATATTATCAGTTAACCTGGATACCAATATGCTGCACACATAAATGTAAAAAAAAAAAAACATTCTGACAAGATAAAACAAATATGCATTAAGTATTACAATTCTAGGTTAATTTTGGAAATTGCACTTTTCTTTGCTTAAAAAAAAAATCTGTTCTATTCTCTATAATAATACAAGGACGTGTCCTTTGATGTCACCTGCAAAGAACGGTTTGGCCATCGTCTCATTTGACCTGGTTCATTTCTGATTATGCATTTCATTTTTTTAGGTTCAAAGAGCAGGATCCAACAAAGAGCTTCTTTACGTAACAAATGGAAACCAGAATAGTCCTGCTTGCAAAGAACTCATTATGCATTTTTGGTCCAAATGGAAGGAAGTAATTTCCTTGTAAAGAAGACACTGACTGTGACCTTCATTTCAGAACATAACCTTGTTCCAGTCTTGTCATAATACCCTTGAGATTAAAAAAAACCAACAACAACAAAAAAAGGATGGGGTAAAGATGATTTTTTTTTTAAGCTTAATTGTGTTAAGGCTAACACAGCTCTAGTCTGGTTTTATTATCGTTTACAATTTATACAATATCTGTTACAAAAATCAGTAAACATCTCTACTTACTGTTTGGTAAGTTGTTGCACAGGTTTCCTTTCTTGGCCCAATATACATAGGCTTTTTATGTGCTGATTAAATTAATATTTTTATTACTTTTAAACAACTTAACTTACATGCAAAATCTGTGGTTCTGACTAGATATTCCAAATATTCCTATAACCCACCTTAACATATGATTCCTCACTGCCTCCCTCTTTAATACGGATTGAAGTTAAGTGTTATGGTAGTGACTTTTTGAATACTGCACCACAATGCACTTATACATTTCTGATCAGTCTGTCATCTGATCCTGAAATGTAACATT